CTTTCCCCCAGCAACTCAAATTTTTTTCTTTTTCTTCTAAACCTCTTTTCTTTCTCAAAATTATTTAATATTTTATTTTCCTCCAATTAAATATAAAAACAATTTTTAACATTCGTTTTTAAAATTTTGAGTTCCAAATTCTCTCCCTCCCTCCCTATTGCCCTCATCAAGAAGGCAAGCATTTTAGATACAGGTTATGCACTTGCAGCAGCTCGTTTTTTTATAAACCAAAAGGTTAGCATTTAAAAAAAAACTGAGCAAACCTGATTCCCAAAGCTATTTGGACTTTATTAGGCAAATGGCCATTGCCTGGTTCTGGCCTGACCTGCAGAAAGGAAGAGTTGGGAATTGTACCAAATACTTGCCATAAGTTAGATTGAGCTCTCTCACTGAATCAGGAAAATGTGCTGAAGTCTAAAATGGGGCGCACGCTTTCATATACAAAATAAATAAAGTAATGGGGGAGGAGAGCGTTAGCTACTATGGCTATCGGGAAGAATACAGCCATAAAGCTGACTTGAGCTTGGAAGGAAAGGAAGAATTCCACGAGGTAGAGGTGAGGAAGGCCATGGACTATAAGAATGATGGAAGAAGCTAAGCTAGCCCTCCAGGGGCCAGGATAGCCCATAAAAGTGGTGGGGAGAGGGGCTCAGGGAGGGGGCATCTCCTTAGCCCCGGCCATCTCTCCCACAGGCCTCCAGAATCCCAAACTCAACCTCTTCACCATCAGCAATGACATTGCTCTGATGAAGCTGGCCACGCCTGTCCAGTTTTCAGACACTGTGTCCCCAGTTTGCCTCCCCAGCTCTGCTGATGACTTCCCTGCAGGCTCTACCTGTGCCACCACCGGCTGGGGGCTGACCAAGTACACCAGTGAGTTTGGAGAGGGGAGAGAGGGCACCAAGGTGGGGAATCCTAGCTGGAAGTCTTGGCTGAAAGATACCGGATTACCGTTGCCTTCCTCTCCCTCAGGACTCCTGGAGTGGGATGAGGCTCTGCCTTCTGGGTAATATTGCTCTTGTCTTGGGGCCTTCCAGATAGCAACACCCTCCCCCCCCCCCCAGAAGCTCCAACAATCCTCTCTGCCCCTCTTGTCCAACGATGAGTGCAAGAAGTACTGGGGAAACAAGATCAAAGACAGTATGGTCTGCCCCGGTGCCGGTGGTGTTTCCTCCTGCATGGTACCTGCCTCTTTTCCCCCACTCCTCCCAGGACTATAGGCTAGTCTTTAGAAGAGCATTTGGG